CCGAGAATTGAACTCGGGTCTCCTGCGTGACAGGCAGGAATACTAACCTCTATACTACCGCGGAGTTGATATTGTATTCTCCAAGGCGCTTGTACATAGCATTCGCGAGATGTCTCTCATTGAATCCCAATTGGGATGTTATCATCTATGCGAATGCTCCTTCTTTCGCGGCCATCGGACTCTGGACGATACTATGGCGGGCTAAGGATGAGTCGCCTACACGTTTGTGGGTTCTTTTGATGGGACTTTTCATTCCGTGGAAAATGCCTAGTTTTCCGGAGCTCGATTCCTGATGCACGAAATCGTGACGCGACGAGGTGACCCCCGTCTCTGCGGTAAAAAACCTATGTCGGTAGCAGAGGGCCTTTGTGGAGAGTCGTGATGATTCTCATGTGGCAACAATGTGCGGCTTCCGCGTCCACTATCCAGGGCTATTGTTATAGTATTGCGGAAGCGGTCGCGCTTGGTCGGTAATGACTGCACTCGATGGGCAGAGATAATTGCCATCGGTGTATTGCCAACTATGCGTTGACAACACATTGCGACAGGTATCAGAGCGAGCTGCGAAAACGTGTCTTTCCTTACGACTATCCATCACTTTCTGGTTGAGTGCACATTGGTGAGAATGAAACATCCTGTTGCAATAGTTTATCGGTTTGAAGTGGAATCGGATGGACAGGAGAATTAGATTTGAATTCTGCATGGTTCTGACGGGAGGTTCGAGTTGGTCCTGCACGGCGACCCCGTACCAACTCATGCATATTCATGGTCAGCAGATAGGTCGTAGGTGAGTTCAAGCAGCGCAGAGAGAGTGAGGACGTCCACATCTCGTTAATTGGTACAGAGTCTGACGCTCTTGATGGTACCTTCTCCTGAACTCAGGTTGTGCGGAAGCCTTCAGGTTGAAGGCCATCTTTAGATCTATGAAAAGGTCAGAGAGGTAGAAAGCATAAGTTTCCGCGGCCGGGAATTGAACCCGGGTCTCCTGCGTGACAGGCAGGAATACTCACCACTATACTACCGCGGAGTTGATGTAACTAACTCATTTCCAGGCTCAATAGGACTAAATGAATACTGACTTCGAACCGTCTTCGCAATTCAACTTTCCGAAACGACGATATCGCTCTTGGCCTCGCTCATATCACACATGCGAAGTGTGGTTACTCTGGGATTCGAGGTCTGTTCGTATCTCGGAGACTTTGCGGTGCAAATAATATTGGAAGCATTGGGCATAGAAAATGTCAGAACGCAAACAGAAGAAATGTTTTTGGCTGTGGACGATCCGACGTAACGATTACATACCACAAATTATGGAATATGAGCTCCACACGAGTACCAGACTTGGACTGCGCGAACGCTTGGGTCACTACGAAGCTTGGAGACTTGCTACACAATATCCTTGTCCCCGGCTTACCCCACGCTAGAGCTTTTTTAGCTCAATTAGTACAAGAGTTATGTGAGTGTTCTCAGAGTGTGTGAATTGAGGAATATATTTTCGTGTGGTTTCTGGACTCTCGTTCATTGTTAAGGGTGCAGACATCAGTTAGATTGTGTTGCTTCGTAGAATTATTAGTGAATTCATCTATATCCAAATGCCTTCCGTTCTTCTAGCTACTTTCAAGCCCTTCAATAAGATCGCCGTCGACGGTATTGAGAAGATATGCAAGGATAACGGTCTAACCTTTGGCAAGATCGAGGGTTACAAGACTCAGGAGGAGCTGTACTCTGCTGCCGAGTCTGCCGAGGCCTGCATTGTCAGGAGCGATAAGCTCGATGAGGAGTTCTTTAACCGTGCTAAGAATCTCAAGATTGTTGTTCGCGCTGGTGCTGGTGTTGATACCATCGATCTCGATGCTGCTTCCAAGCATCAGGTTGTTGTGGAGAACACTCCCGGTCAGAATGCTAATGCTGTTGCCGAGATGGTGTTCGCTCTTTTGATCGCCATGAAGAGGAACCACTTCGATGCTACTTCTGGTAGGGAGATCCGTGGCTCTACTCTCGGCCTCTACGGCTGTGGTAACGTGTCGAGGGCGATGATTGAGGTGTCTAAAGGTTTCGCTATGAAGTGCTATTCTTACGATCCCTTCCTGTCTGATGAGCAGATTAAGGAGTGTGGTGCCGAGCCTCTCCACGACTTGAAGGAGCTCTTCAAGTGTGACATCGTGTCCTTGCATGTCCCTGCTACTCCTCAGACGATCAACTCCATCAACGAGGATCTTATGTCGTTGATGCCTGAGAATGGCGTTCTCGTCGATGCCGCCAGATCTGAGGTTATTGATGAAGACTCTGTCATCTCAATCTTCCAGAAGCGTCCTGATCTCGGATACATCTCTGATGTTGGTTTCACTAAGATTGATGAGTTGAGGGAGAAGATCGGTGCTGCCCAGTTGAAGAAGCAGCTCATTGTGACTCCAAAGAAGATGGGTGCTCAGACTCTCGAGTCTAATGTCAACGCAGGTCTCACTGCTATCAAGCAGATTTCTGCCTACTTCAAGGACGGCTCTACCATTCATCAGGTCAATGGCAAGGCTTTCTAAGCTGATTCAACCCACTAGTCACTGTTAAGGTTCTTTCCGGTGCATTGTTTTGCTTTCATATGATTCATATTTTTCTTTACTATACTCTAGTGCTATGTATCTCTGCTTCATCACTAGATGTGGTATTGCGTGTGACAGTTTGTGAATGGAATTGGTGGTCGGGTCGAAAGACTAAGCTGATTTGTTGTTTCGTACACGACTAACCTACGAGCTTGTGCGGGGATGCAACATAAATAGGAACACTTGAGTGAGGAGATTCAGCTGAGCCTGCAGGTTGCACAATGAAAATTAAATTTCATCTGTTCTAGGCCTAGTTGCACAGAAGCTTGAATGGAGTCATCTTCTTAAGAGGTATCCACCGGGAATATGAACGAAAAGTTGACCTGATCTGTTAATCAGGAATTATGGCGTGGGTTTAGGGTGGTTGTCAACTTGAGGACAAAACAAAAACTTGAGGATGGGACACAGCAAGCAACTGTTCTGAACCCAACAAAGGATTCGTATCATCAAGTTTCGCACGGGAAGAACATGCTATCGCAGCTTATCGTATGCCATCTCCTGAGCCCTTCTAGTGACCCTATTCGCATAACGAAGCCTGAAGAGCAAACAAATCCGCCCCCGATCAACCGGTCGATACAAGCACATGGAAACCTCATTGGACAGTCATACTCAGAATGGTTACACGTACTCGTTCTCGAGGATTTCTGTACGCGAGAACGGTGTAGAAGCAGCTATCGAACGACGAGTCCGCTCTGTAGTGTCTGCATAGAAGGAATGTCGTATCATCAGTACAGCCGGGCTCTCGAAACTTACCTGATACCCTTGGCCATCTTGATTGCTCCTTATGTGCCGTAGAAGGAGTCAAATAACTACCGCTACCTCTCTGAGATGACCTCGCTCGCCCATAGTAACGAGTTGTGCTCAATAAGCTACTTGACGACGGCCTCATCTGAAGATCCTTTGAAAATCCCATCGAAGTTGCAGTACTCACCTTGTTGCTCGTGGACATCGAATATTCCGAGTTCCCTCGAGGGTATTCAAGATTCTTCCACCCGTCGTGTGAGTCCCTTTCTAATAGCTGGTGTCTGCAACAAGAGCTCCAAAAACTCGTTGATATCACATTCACCTCCTCGATGCACCACACCCGCGAATATCCTGCCGCGATGAATGATGCCGAAGGTTGACTTCAGAACGACACGTTCTTCGTATTGGGGAACCTGATTTCCCGTCTATCCTAACTCCTTGCAGCAAGGTCACGTCACTATACGATCTACCAGTAAGCATGTCAGATATGCGCCCTCGAAGGTACTCGTTTTCCGCAGTCAGATCAGCATTGCGTTCCGCCATGCGTAGTATGGTCACATTGGCACGCTCCGTTACATTCCGCAGTGCCTCATTGCACTTTTGATGAGCCCTAAGGACAACTCCACGAGTAATCTCTCGATCGCAGGAGTTCTCCTACGCTCCTGCATCAGCTGGGACAGGCGCCATACCACACTTTTCCAACAACAGCGTGTTCTCCCGGTTTAGTTTTTCCAACGCTCTTTTCAAGTGACGCACTTTCTTCACCAAACTGAAGGGTTGATAAACTGAGACTGTCTTTGAATGTCTACGGGGTTAACTAATTCATAGTAGGGAAGAGAAAACCTCAGCCTACTGCTTTTTCTCTTTCCGTTCAGCGTTTATTTCTCTTTCGAGTTCTGTTACGCTGCTTTCACTAGCCGGCAGCGTTGAGTGACGACGGTCATGATCTTCACCCTAACCTAGCGATTTCAACTTGGGGCTAAACTCATCTTTACATCGATCCTCATTCTCTCGCGGTTCTGAACGAGTCCCTCGAGGCATTCTTCGATCTCTTTGTCGATGGGATCATCCGAATTGCCCATTCCATTTCGACGATGGTCCAGTGACGTAGTCAGGTACTGAACGATTGAGCTCGTTATACACTTCAATGAAAGAACTCCAAGAACATGTGAGGGGTATATGTTATTTTTTGTTACTCGTGATCTAGCCCTTGAATATAACGTACTAACGTACTCGAAAGAAACACCCGAGTAAACGATTGAAGTTCGACTGCGCTATCAGATAGAAATAGCAGTAACAGAAGATTGAACCGGAGTCGTTAATGATTGATTTTGCCTATGCCTGGATTGCTCGACACATCTAAATCTGATCCTTCACGAGCTGATGTGCATCGATGCGAGTCTAACTAAGCCGTGTGATAGGCGATGGACTTTAAACTCACACACACACATAGACTCACCTCGAACGCCTTCTCGATAGAGAATGTGTCGTCAGGAGCCATAGCAGAGGCACCAGCACCTGCATAAGCATTCAACTCTCCAAGACAGCATCGAACGAGTTCTCTCACTGTGTATTCGGTCACTCGCTTCAGCGCCTATGGACTTGCCTAACAAGGCATTGCTCAGTCGTTCGAGGTCGAGGTCGCTGATCCCAACACTCGAAGGCATCGTTTTTGCATCCGTCCTGTATACTGAGATGCCTGGGCCATCGGCGTTTGAGGTTCCTCGCTCATATTTACGTGGAAGGGTCATGATACTGATGCCACCATTCGATGGCTTTGATGATAAACTCGACGATTTTCGTTCACTTTTCCCAGAGGACAATAACTGTCCTCATAACAATGACATCCTCAACCAGAGATATTCCAGCAGAAATAAGAAAAGCGATCTCAGTGATTGCTATAGAGAATCTAAGCTCGTTATGATCAAAGTGAGCGGACATGAATACTTTTGAAGAGATCATCACATCACGGTTACAGACAACCAACGTGACGAAGATTTCCAATGGAATCCAAGTAGACCAGTCTCATTGACAACTCGGGACAATTCGCTTGAAAGTAAGTGTCACTTAGACTATTCAACTTTCTTCTCGTGACCACAAACAGAAGTCCTTGAAAACAACACCTCTGTAGCTGTAGAAAGGGATGTACCTAACACAAGTTACAGTTCATTGGAGTTTTGCCCGTTTGACGTGGAGCAATATAATACTCAGTGTAAAACACGATATTTGCGATATGCAGTGGTCGGGAGATGTGTTTTTCACTAGTGTTTTTCATATCACGGGTGAAACTTCATTATATTTCCACATCGACCAGAGTGATAATCACCAACGCCTTCATGTGTATATCAATATGATATTTGATTATTTGAATATGATTGTTCATGGTATATCATATTGAACATTAACGGCGAGAGCCCAGAGTCGACTGTAGCCCACAAGCTTCTCTGTGGGGATCGTGAGGAAGCTGCGTCCAGCATGGGTTCACAGATGATCTTCCTGGTAAACTCCTCAGGACTTCGCTCGCCGACGAAGAAATCTGTTTATGAATCACCAAATGAAGACTAACACGAAGTGCTCACCACAAACAGCCTCATCTCGATAGGTCGACGGCTCCTCTTGATTCACGGCGTTGAATTGTGGGTGCACCTCAGAAGTTGAAGTATAGTGTCTCGGCAGTTGGCCGTGGAAACCAGCCCTGATCATAACAATACTACTTACTGTAGGACAATATATAGAATAGTATCATAAAGACTATATAGGGGATTGTGGGATGCATAGCCTAGCCCTTGCTGGGCTCTGCAACTGTCATAGTTGCAGACCGCGAGCGGTTCTCCCGGTCTTAATCGTTTATTCAAGCTAATGTGATAAGATCCACAATATCGTCAGAAGCGACTCGTGTGAGTTGCTGCCAACGCTGCTTCCAAGATATCATCCTTTCACTCATTCGGATGACCCCGTGGAACAGTGGAAGACGAGCGCTTCTGGATAGTTATGTGCTTGCGTACGGCCAGTTCATTGTCATTTACTTATCATCGTATAAATCCAAGCATGAATTCCCACAGTAACTTCCGGAGCTTACTTGGTGAATTCCAGTCTAGCTCCTGGTGGCATAAAGAAGTGGGAATATGAGCGATACCAATCATCTCCCATACACACCACTGCCTCAGGACGACTTTGAATAATATTATAACTAAACGGAAACATCAAACACGTGATAAAATGCTTTCACTCACCTCTTTTCCCACACCTTAGCCGGCGCGCCATAGTAGAGCCGTAGAGCTGCTATACGACTAGCCGAGAGGAGGACGATGACTGCTAGCGCAGACTTAACTGCATATCGCCGTAACTTGGTTGTTTGCGTTGGGGCTTTCTTCGACCTAGCACGAAATCCGCTTGCCATCTATACAAGCTATGAAGGAATTTATATATACGACCACTGCATATCGCAGATATCGAGTTTTACACTGAGTATCACGCCACTTCACGTAAAATGGGTGAAACTCCAATGACCTATGAAATATCGTATATAAATATATATCATATCAAGATGTACTTGTTATATACATCGAAGTCTCACACGTTTCGCGTGAAGTTCGGTTATACTTTGAGTGACGAACGCGTTATTCGTGATATGATTGAAAACACTTCGCGAATTACACCGGAAAAATCTCCCATATCACGTAGAACACATCACGTGTTTTTCGCGATATTCACTGCTCACATGCGTTTTTCGTGAAGTGAAATGTGAACTATGATTTAACTAGTGTTTTCATATCACGGGTGAAGCTCCATCATTATACATTCAATGATTATCGTTATTCTCTACTATGGTACCGTAATATTGTATATAACTATGATATTGATAAAGGGCGATATCTAAATATGAATAACGGAGTTTCACACGTTTTACGCAGAGTGGCGTAATATTCTGTGCAAAACCCGATATTCGTGGTATGCAGTGGTTTGTGGGATATGTTTTTCACTTGTCTTTTCCATATCACGGGTGAAACTTCAATAAACTAATATTAATATTAATGCTCACGTATAAGTTGGATATGTCTTCACCAAAACAGCAGCGGAACATGCCGCAATACACGGGTAGATCTGAAAATGAAAATTGAGAAATCAGCAGAAAACACAGTCAACGTTACAGGGTAAAGAAAGCGCTCTTCCTTATGCGCTAACTTCGACATTGTACCGAACCATAGCATCTAATCACACGCCGTAGTAAACTAGAAAAAGGGGACGAGAACTGACCATGGGGAAGCCTATAGGCAACCATGAACCGAGCTTGTGACCAGTGAAGTATAGAATAGATATAAAGGCTAGAGGCAGACAGATGTTGAAATTGAGGACACCATTGAAGATGTAATAATACCTGATATTATAATACACATCATGGCTGGCGAAAAACTGTACTTCGAATTCATAACGGAGAGAATTCCAATAGGGAAGTTTTGAATTTTACAACGGCAAGATGCGAACATAACATTCATCATCATATTTACAGCTACGCTATTATAACACAGCATTTCCTTATGCACGACGGAAGTTGTGTTCTTCATGTCGCGTCACACAGCAGCGAGAATCAATCGCTGAATTTGTTGCCAATTTGTATTAAAGAATTTCTGCAATGCGAGTGATGCCGACAACCCGTGAGCTGACGCAAGAACACGGTGTTCAAAGTAAATGTTCGCTTTCCTCAGCTAAGCTCAGGAGTTTCCTTACTAATTACAGACCGTTGTATAGACTACGGGTAGAAATGTACAGGAATCAATAATAATTTTCCAAAATTTCCTTATAATGATTTCCATATTGTCACCACGTGAAAATATATCCCCACACTGCAAAAATACGTGTCTACGACTTACCAGGGTTCAACACCGTATAGTTGGGAAAGATTGTCGACAGAAAAACCAAAGTTGTACATAGCAATATTCAACGGTGCGAATACGACTCTGCCGTAGAAGTGATAGTCCACAGCAACTGAAGCACTGTAGTGGTCATTCAGACCTCAATGAGCATTCACGCTCACTTATGGTGCCACAGACGATAAGCAAGCCTATGGCGCCTCTCGTGAGGGTGTAGGATAATCCTCTTTCGTATCTAACCGTAATTGCCTGAAGTTCCTCGAATCACTAACATATAGTACTCTTACACGACGGAAGATACCAGAACAACGTAAACAACACTTGCGAACGGCCATGCTGTTGCGAGAGCGCCGAACAGCGACACTATTATGCACGCGAAATCATCTGAGGCGTCTCAAGTGGAAAATACAAGTCACGAATCAACATACGTTTTTTTCCATGAAGATAATTCGACAACATGAAACAACACATGAAGAACTGGGAAGGAAGCACTGCCGGGGAGGCTTGGAAACTGATAGAAGAAGAACTCATAAAGTCCTCGGCAAAATAGAAAAATCTCACAAGCCAGGGAGCGCCGCGCTCAGATAGAGGTAGATAGCCGCAGTAGGAGTACCCCACAAGGACGATATCATCTTGGAAAAAAAGTATCTGAAATCAACTTTAACAATTTCAGATTTTGCAGGTTTCTCACTCGCATAGTGCACAGAAGGACGCGTTACACGCTCGTACAGCGTAGAAGACCATAGGTTTGGTAACACCAGGGATGATACTGGAGAAGAGCCAGGCCACAGTAGCATACACGTAGGTGTAGACGTATGATCTCAGGCCGAACTCTGGGCTGTACTCCCAAGTCTGTAGTGATGGTAGACCGTATGACTAACAGTAGAAGAGCAATGATTCATATCAGTGTGCGAGGAAGATATGCACAACATGCTTGATAAAAATTTCAGAAAATTATCCCTGTACACTTCTCCTCGAATTCCTATGAAAACCTCGCTAACTAGTAAGGAAACAACTTCTGAGCTCAGCTAAGAAAGCGAATATATATTCCGACAGCGAACCGAGCGGGAATGCTGCTCTTTGAAAACACTTTCATATAGTATCTATCTT